GCCCCCCTAGCTTATAAATTGTTATCAGCTTTTCATGGACAAAGCATCCCTAGCTTATTAATATATGTATGTTATCAGCTTTTCATGGACAAAGCATCCTTAGCTTATTAATGTACGTATGTTTTAAGCTTTCTTTGGACAAGGACCCCCTAGCTTAATAATGAAAGTATGTTACCAGCTTTTCATGGACAAGGCATCCCTAGCTTATTAATGTATGTATATTTTATTCTTTCTTTGGACAAGGCATCCCTAGCTTATTAATGAACGTATGTTACCAGCTTTTCATGGACAAGGTATCCCTAGCTTATTAATGTACGTATGTTACAAGCTTTTCATGGACAAGGCATCCCTAGCTTATTAATGAATGAATGTTTTATCCTTTCTTTGGACAAGGCATCCCTAGCGTATTAATGTACGTATGTTACAAGCTTTTCATGGACAAGGCATCCCTAGCTTATTAATGTATGTATGTTTTATCCTTTCTTTGGACAAGGCATCCCTAGCTTATTAATGAGCATATGTTACCAGCTTTTCATGGACAAGGCATCCCTAGCTTCTTAATGAATGCATGTTTTATCCTTTCTTTGAACAAGGCCCCCCTAGCTTATTAATGAACGTATGTTACAAGCTTTTCATGGACAAGGCATCCCTAGCTTATTAATGAACGTATCTTACAAGCTTTTCATGGACAAGGCATCCCTAGCTTATTAATGAATGTATGTTACCAGATTTTCATGGACAAGGCATCCCCAGCTTATTAATGAACGTATGTTACAAGCTTTTCACAAACGAAGCATCCCTAGCTTATTAATGAATGTTTGTTACAAGCTTTTCATGGACAAGGCATCCCTAGCTTATTAATGAACGTATGTTACAAGCTTTTCATGGACAAGGCATTCCTAGCTTATTAATGAACGTATGTTACAAGATTTTCATGGACAAGGCATCCCCAGCTTATTAATGAACGTATGTTACAAGTTTTTCACAGACAAAGCATCCCTAGCTTATTAATGAACGTATGTTACAAGCTTTTCATGGACAAGGCATCCTTAGCTTATTAATTAACGTATGTTACAAGCTTTTCATGGACAAGGCATCCCTAGCTTATTAATAAACGTATGTTACAAGCTTTTCATGGACAAGGCATCCCTAGCTTATTAATGAACGTATGTTACCAGCTTTTCATGGACAAGGCCCCCTAGCTTATTTATGAACGTATGTTACAAGCTTTTCATGGACAAGGCCCCCCTAGCTTATTAATATATGTAAGTTATCAGCTTTTCATGGACAAGGCATCCTTAGCTTATTAATGTACGTATGTTTTAAGCTTTCTTTGGACAAGGCCCCCCTAGCTTATTAATGAACGTATGTTACAAGCTTTTCATGGACAAGGCCTCCCTAGCTTATTTATGAACGTATGTTACAAGCTTTTCATGGACAAGGCCTCCCTAGCTTATTAATGAACGTATTTTACCAGCTTTTCATGGACAAGGCATCCCTAGCTTATTAATGAACGTATACCTATGTTACCAGCTTTTCATGGACAAGGCATCCCTAGCTTATCAATGTATGTATGTTTTATCCTGTCTTTGGACAAGGCCTCCCTAGCTTATTAATGAACGTATGTTACCAGCTTTTCATGGACAAGGCATCCCTAGCTTCTTAATGAATGCATGTTTTATCCTTTCTTTGGACAAGGCCTCCCTAGCTTATTAATGAATGTATGTTACAAGCTTTTCATGGACAAGGCATTCCTAGCTTATTAATGAACGTATGTTACAAGCTTTTCATGGACACAGCCTCGTTACCTTTCTACATTTCCTTTGTTACAAGCTCTCTTTCGACAGCCACTTTTGACACCACTGTATTCTAGTATCACACTTAGACTAGCTTTTATCAATAGGACATGTTTGAAGGTTAGTTACAGCATAGATCAAGCTTACGTTTGGATAAGAAGTTTTGCAGGGTATATCTCTGCTGATTGTAATTATTGCTACATTTGTTTTGTAAGATATTGTAGAAAATCTCTTTATGACTGTACATGTATTTATTTAAACAAATTAAAATTCTTTGCTACATTGTTAATATAACAAAGTACCATACACTGGACACTTATCAACTTTGCTTCATAATGACTTTCACTAGCTATTCATTAGACATCTCCTATCATACATGCATATTACTGGTATGCTATATGCGCATATGTCTGCCTGCAAAAACGAACAATGAGTGGCCCTTAATATCTACATGTCTTCCAAAAGATCTCCACAAAAAGCTTTCTACAGACTTTTCGTACAATAACCGTAATTTTAGTCTGCAATCCTCTTAAAGGTCATGTTCAAGATCAAGGTGCGTTAGATAACTTGTCCACAGTCAAGGCTATGTAAGATTAGATGTCATGGTAGCTGTTGTGCTCCCACTCATCTGACCTGTACGCCACCCCACTCCTTCACTGTTTGGTATAACCCTTTGGTTGATGAATTAGACCATGATCAACTCTACAGATTGTGGCAGCTCAATGTTGTAGTCAGCTCTCCTTTGCAGTAAATATATCCACCATGACTGTACACTTGTAACATATAGCAATGATTTCTTTTCTTGCTGCCAGTATTTTTTATAAATTTATCAAGACAAGTTGACTTGGTGTCCAGAAACTATTATGTCCATAGTAATACTATCCCTTATAGCTGATAATGCAAGTTAAAAACACTCAACAAGAATTTCTAAAAATCTATTTCCTACACAGAGACAACCCTGGCTTACCATCAGACAGTCGATCCTTTGTGAAATCTGCCCTGATTCTATTTAAAACCGAGTCTGGAATTCTACAGATATATAATTAATTTCCTGTTTACAGGGGTTGTCACATCGTAGGAAATAAGTTTTGGTGAAAGATTGTTGATGGTCTTTACTTGCAATGTCAGCTTTAACCATTTTCTGACATTTTAAGTATATATAGTAATAAGTTCTGAACTACTTCTAGGTATCAGAGTAATAAGTTCTGAACTACTTCTAGGTATCAGAGTAATAAGTTCTGAACTACTTCTAGGAATCAGAGTAATAAGGTGTGATGGCAGGAAAACTAAGGTTTCAGTCAAAAAGTGACCATTTTTTTTATCAAATGTTGTAAAGTACATTGTTAAATGTTCACCGAAAATTATCTGTCATTTATACACTATGGCAAACAAATCATTTATCTGTCAATTTGTCAATATGTTCCTAGCTTGTTCACAAGTGTAAAGAGAGTTTTCTTATATGTACATGAGTTTATGCCTCAAGCCCACTGTTTTCTGTTTTGTAAAACAACTCTGTTACTGTAACTGTCTATGAGTATAATCTTCCTCAGGGTACTGCCAAATGTATTTCCGACGTCAACAAATTTACAGCTCATCAATACCCTACTGATGATGGCTGGTACCCCATCATAACGAATTAATTTATCACTGTGACATCTAAATATAGAGTTACATGTTACATGCCAGGAACAGTGGCACCAGGCACTGTACCAGAACAGTGCCAACCACTAGACAGACACATGGAACACACCATGCACAGTGAAACACATATGCCAGACACACACCATGGCTAGGCACTATGAGGCATACATATGCCAGGCACAAACTATGGCTAGGTGATATGAGGCATATGCCAGGTACAATCCATGGCTAGGCACTATGAGGCACACATATGTCAGGAACAAAACCATGGCTAGGCACTATGAGGCATACATATGCCAGGCACAAACCATGGCTAGGCACTATGAGGCATACATATGCCAGGCACAAACTATGGCTAGGTGATATGAGGCATATGCCAGGTACAATCCATGGCTAGGCACTATGAGGCACACATATGTCAGGAACAAAACCATGGCTAGGCACTATGAGGCATACATATGCCAGGCACAAACCATGGCTAGGCACTATGAGGCATACATATGCCAGGCACAAACTATGGCTAGGTGATATGAGGCATATGCCAGGTACAATCCATGGCTAGGCACTATGAGGCACACATATGTCAGGAACAAAACCATGGCTAGGCACTATGAGGCATACATATGCCAGGCACAAACCATGGCTAGGCACTATGAGGCACACATATGCCAGGCACAAACTATGGCTAGGCACTATGAGGCACACATATGCCAGGCACAAACTATGGCTTGGCACTATGGGGCACACATATGCCAGGTACAAACCATGGCTAGGTGATATGAGGCATATGCCAGGTACAATCCATGGCTAGGCACTATGAGGCATACGTATATACATATGCCAGGCACAAACTATGGCTAGGCAATATGAGGCACACATATGCCAGGTACAAACCATGGCTTGGCACTATGGGGCACACATATGCCAGGCACAAACTATGGCTAGGCAATATGAGGCACACATATGCCAGGTACAAACCATGGCTTGGCACTATGGGGCACACATATGCCAGGTACAAACCATGGCTAGGCAATATGAGGCACACATATGCCAGGTACAAACCATGGCTTGGCACTATGGGGCACACATATGCCAGGAACAAACCATGGCTAGGCACTATGAGGCACACATATGCCAGGAACGAACTATGGCTAGGCACTATGAGGCACACGTATGCCAGGCACATACATATGCCAGGCACAATCCATGGCTAGGCACTATAACGCACACATATGCCAGGTACAAACCATGGCTAGGCACTATGAGGCACACATATGCCAGACACGAACTATGGCTAGGGACTATGAGGCACACGTATGCCAGGCAAAATCCATGGCTAGGCACTATGAATCATACATATGCCAGGCACAATCCATGGCTAGGCAATATCAGGCACACATATGCCAGGTACAAACCATGGCTAGGCACTATGAGGCACACATATGTCAGGTACAAACCATGGCTAGGCACTATAACGCACACATATGCCAGGCACAAACCATGGCTAGGCACTATGACGAACACTTACCAAATGTAGGAGTGTATGAATATGTTTATCAGTTCTAATTTGTATAATGCTTTATTTCTGTTGGATACAATATCAATCACCTTACACTTCATCATTCTGATGTAAAATCTTGTGGATCTTTTACTTTCAGTTTCATTTTTAGTGGCTTTTTTTGCCCCGCACCATCTGAATTCTCCCCCTCTGATGAGTAATAGTGGGGTTTAAAGGATAATTGTTGCTTAAAGTCCTCAGGATCTGATTCTATAAATTCATACGCATCAAAATTAGATGCTGATGTGCTAGTTCTTTGACTCTGTTTCCGCTTTTTGCCACTATGTTTTGAGTCTTTTTGATCTCGCGATGGAGGCGAGGGTACAGCTAGAGGTTTGATTTGTAATTTTAACGTTGGTCGTCTAACAAACTTGAGTTTGATGCCTTCACTAGTATCACTGACAGTGCTCACAGCCAGGTGAGACTGACTTGGTCCAGCAAAACTAGCATCCTCCTCCACCTCTGTTTTTACTTCACGACTGACTTGAGGTAGCTGAGGTATTTTAACAGCTTTTCTTCTTCTACCACCATCACTCATTTCTTCCTCATCATCAGTATCGACCTCCTTGTAACTTGGCTTTTTCAAAACACGCAAGTCCTTTTTGGTTTGATTTAGCATATCTTTATGTCTCTGCTTCTCAATTTCTAACAATTCTGCTGATCGTCGCATGTGATGTTGTCGTAACAACTCAAGTTCATGTGCTTGTTTGTCCTGTTCAGCCTGTTTCACTTTGTCGATCCTCGCTTGTTTTTCTCTAAGTATACGTTCTTGCTCTTCTCTCTCTTTCCTTAATACTTCAAGTCTTGCATTTTCTATTTTCTCTCTCTCTCGCCTTTCCTTATCCAGAATTTCCTGAATTCTAACCTGCTCCATGAATTCCGCCAGAAGTTCATCTCCACTTTTTGCAGCTTCTGGGTCAGTTAATGACACAATTTTCTCCTGTTTCTTACCCACAAATACTTTTCTTTTGAGATCAATTTTTTCGCACAAGTCTGGAAGTCTAATAGCTAGGCTATCACCAAAATAATCGTACATATCTCTGTATAACTGGCTCACAGAGGACTGTAGCTGAGGGGCAGCACTGGTATAAGTCTTTGACGGAGACACTTGCTCCTTTGATTTGAAATTTAACTCCATTTTGTTGTTTTCATACTCCTCTACTTGCTCCTCAAACATTCGGATATGCTTCTTAATGACAAATTCCACGGCCAACTGAAATAAAAATGAAAATCACAATTTGAGCTATATTTCAAACAAGTTAAGGAAACCACATTGTTTTCATCACTTACACGACACACTCAATTTTTCTTTTCACAGGTCACTGATATCTGAAGTTGCCTATCATATTAGGTGCTATCTAATACAAAGCCTACTAAAGTTCCATTATTTCTCATTTGCTTTTAAAATGAAATTAAAGAAAATAGGGATTATATAGTAACTGATATCAATCATTAATGACAGCCGTATTTTATCATTTGTCCTAAAGTAGATATTTCTTGGAATCTTCAATTTTTCAAATGTCTAGAAAAGTAAATTCAATCTATATATCATTCCTATGGACCTTGAACAGATAGAAAGCGATTTCAACCTACATACATAAAGTAGATAGCCTTTGACCAAGTAAAGAAGCAAGGCTTATTCCCCCTAAATATATGGCCTAGAGATTTTGTAGAGCTGGAAAACTATTTTAACCTTCAGAACTTCAACATATACGGCTTGTAGACTGTCAATGTCAATTCAACCAATACTACAGAGTACTCTGTCTAAATCAGAAACCCCTGGAACCATATGATTTGGCCAGTTTGCTGGAAGTTCCACAGAAAGTCTTCTAGTTAAACATTGTCATGTCAAAACAAAGAGTCCTGTTTACCCCGAGTGTACTTTATCATAATTATAATGTATATGGAGCTTACCCCGAGTGTACTGTATTATAAGGTTTATGGAGCTTACCCAGAGTGTACAGTATTATAAGGTATACAAAGCTTACCCAGAGTGAACTGTGTTATAATGTATATGGAGCTAACCCAGAGTGTACTGTATTATAAGGTGTATGGAGCCTACCCAGAGTGTACTGTATTATAAGGTATACAAAGTTTACCCAGAGTGAACTGTGTTATAATGTATATGGAGCCTATCCAGAGTGTACTGTATTATAAGGTGTATGGAGCTTACCCAGAGTGTACTGTATTATAAGGTGTATGGAGCTTACCCAGAGTGAACTGTGTTTTAAGGTATACAAAGCTTGTTGAGCTAGAAAGTAACAGTATCGTATGTGAACCTTTTGGGATATAACAGAAAAGTTAAACCTACCAGCATGGCACCGTGGACTTTGTGGGCATCTGCCTTTGTAATAGCATTGGCGTAGGAGGTATCCTCTAGCACTGAGATAAGATGAGGCCAGTAGACTGGGAGGTGGGGGATTAGCACCTCCTCAACAGGCTGTAAGGGAGACAACTCTGATATTACTATTGAGATGCAAATAAACCACAATAAAAAAATATTGGGATTTTGAATTACCAATTATTTTTAAACTGGTCTCATAAAATACCAATGTACAATTAAAATGGAATTTCTAAAATGAAACATCAGAGTCTAGATAAACAAAGATAAATACAATCGTCAATATAGACTCCAAATTTAACTTCAGTCCATTTACACATTACGATATAACACAGGAAACAGCAATCTATCATTTGAAATCAGCTGCTATTTTTTATGAAAACAAGAGGACACTGAATATGTTACAGAAAATGAGAACAAGAAAGAGTTTCTTAAAAGTGTAACATATGGAGGTGAGAGTTGAATTTTTACATGAGGGTTTATACACTGTCTTTAATCCTTGACAAACTTCTTCACAAAACTGTGATTTAATTGTATCAATCATCCTATGATGTTACTCCCAGATTTCATACATATACCTCATAGTACAAACAGAACCGACCTTGTAACCGAGAGCAGTGAGCCCCATGACAGCACCGTAGTGACAACAGAAAGGTTTGGCATGGTCACACAGGACTTCCCTCAGGTTCTTCACTGTGTTGTACAGCAGGTGGTTGATGGGACTAGACCAGGACCTGGCAAATATGTCAGAGTTGTTTGTTAACAAAACCCGACCAACAAAATAAGACAAGTCTCAGTGACCTTGTGCACAACATCAGGGTGTGTAACCAGACTTAATCATCATCTGTTGTTACTGAACACAAATATCACTTTGATAACAAACACAGATATCCCATTGTTAGCAAGCAAAGGTATCCTTTATTTAAACACAGTTATCCCATAGTTAACAACAAACACAGGTAATAAGGGCCCCTTATTAGCAAATACACCTTTGTTAGCAAACTTAGGTATCCCTATAATTAACAACAAACACAGGTAATAAGGGCCCCTTATTAGCAAATACACCTTTGTTAGCAAACACAGGTATCCCTATAGTTAACAACAAACACAGGTATCCCTATAAGTGCCATAAGGTGCACATTCTACATGTGTTCTCTTAAAATATGAACAAAATAATTCCCATTAACTATGACTGACAAGTCGTGTTTTATTTCTCGGGGAAACAAACTTGTCTGTATTAACAAGGGGTACATGATCTCATAATAACATTTTGTGCGGTACTTATTATAACCATGGGAGATAACTCTGGCATGCTCTACATGACATTTATAAGAAAATCTCCAGCTAAGTGAAAGTTAGAGGACAACAGCCGGAGTTATCTACCTTTTACAGTGTGTTGTTTCACATAAGAAAGTAATATTAGAAAATCGAAAAAGAAAGTATTTGAATCAAAGTGAAGAATTCATAAATACCAACTTAGAAACATATTCAATGTATTTGATCATATGTGGATTTATTGATAGTCACCTACTTTTGTTATGGGGCCAGTGACTACTCTTTCAGTAGCCTGGGCAAGACATTTGTCCCTGGTGGTGAGTGAGCAAATGTCTATTTTAGCCATTTTTAGACACTGCGCCAGATAACAACTGAATACAACAAAACAATTCCTAATTTTTTGTATATATCTGTTGACACTCAGAGAGTGTTTTCCTGCGTATACCTACATAATGATCTGAGCTAGCAGGCGTGCGGCATAGTCACGCAGGGCCCAGTGATCATTGGACGGATTGATGGAGGCAGCCAGGGGTTCCAGCAAACAATAGGTTGTACCCTGTACCACCATGTTCAGCTGTCAACAAAAAAAAATGATTTTAAATTTAAATTTATTAAAAAGAATGTCAACAAATACACTGTGTTTCACCAAAATGTGAAAATCTTCACAATAATTTGATATTTGTCACAACAAATTTGCTTTAGATATTACCAGGTAGGTATCAAAAAATACCTTTTCTTTATAACCTATTATTTGCTTTCTATGATACTTACATAAGGCTGAGGTTCTAGGTACAATGAGGTGTTGTTGATGAGGGCTTTTATGGTGTGTAGCAGTTTTGTCAGTTGACAGATATCATGGCTTACAGTTTTCACCTGAAAGTATAATACTCTTTGTAAACAGCTGATACCAAACTTCACCAATTATAAGCCGGGGTCCCAGTCCTTATTGAAGATAATGTTGGGGTCAGGAATATCCCCTTGAGGCTGTCCATGGAAAACATGTAGGGATGGCAGGGAGATTTTGTTGCCCCTCCCCCAACACTTACAATGTTTTGGGACCAATCATCCAGACATTTACAATCATTTTAGACTCCACCAGTCATCAACTACTCCGAGACTTCTCCGAGTACCTCTCTGCCCCCTTTCCCCATATACAGGTATGACTAAAACATCACCTTACCCCAAGACAGGATTATTGATATCCACCATATTAGGATAAATTAATCATCTAAATTGAATAATCTTTGTTTAGATAATGTTATATTGACAATCTTGTTACATGGTCTAACATGACCTGCTCGATAACGCTGTTTACCTCGTTTTGAGGGAAAATGTTTTTCAAAATTATATCAAAACACCAAGTTTTATTTACCTGTTCACAAATAAACTTAAGTCCAATAAGAATTTTCCCTCAATCAGATATAAGTAAGCTACATTTTAAAACATGCTTTAAATATAAATCACACCTATTTATCACCTTCATCAGCTGTCGGAAGTAATTCATTATCACTATCTTCCTTACCAATGAAATTAGGAAGTGTATCAGAGCCATCAACAAGAAACATCCCAGTACTAACTCAATTGTACTGATTTACCGGTATCAAGCCCGCCCACATCTCAAACAAGAGGCCCAGAGGGCCTGTATCGCTCACCTGAATATAATTAAAGTAATTGGTATGAAGTAAAGATGTAGCACTCCATGGTAGGTGCTGTAAGTACATATGAAATTTCAGAAAGATCCATCCAGTACTTGAGATATAGAGAACAAACTTCAAACAGAGCCCCACCCCTATGCCCCTACGGGGGTCATAGCCATCAATTATACAAAATTGAGTCACCGTCACCCAAGGATGCTCCACACTAAATAAGGATAAAATCCCTTAATCCTGATGGTCGGAGAAGGATTTTAAAGGTTTTACCTCTATTTCTCCTATTGGGCCCCGCCCTTCTGTCCCCCTCGGAGACCACACCTACTGATAATACAAAATTGAGTCCCTTTGGCCCAAGGATGCTCAAGACTAAAGCAGGATAAAATCCCTTAATCCCTATGGTAGAAGAAGGATTTTAAAGGTTTTACCTCTATTTTCCCTATTGGGCCCCGCCTCTCTGCCTACAGGGGGGTCAGACACACCGTTTATACAAAATTGGTTCCCCTTCACCCAAGAATGATTCAGACCAAATATGGGCAAAATCCTGTCATTCCTACCGAAGAAGAAGGATTTTGAAGATTTACGTCTATTTCCCCTATTGGGCCTCACCCCTCAGGTCCAAGGGGGGGGGGCACACCCACCGTTTATACAAAATTGGTTCCACTTTACCCAAGGATGTTCCACACCAAATATGAACCAAATCCTTTAATTCCTACAGAAGAATAAGGATTTTAAAGAATAATTTGCTATGTTTCCCCTATCGGGCACCGCCCCTCAGGCCCCTGTGGGGCCAGATCCTTGATTTATACAAAATTGGATCCCCTTCACCCAAGGATGCTTCAGACCAAATATGGACCAAATCCTTTCATTCCTACAGAAGAAGGATTTTAAAGAATAATTTGCTATGTTTCCCCTATTGGGCTACACCCATCTGGCCCCTGAGGAGCCACCCCATGGTTTATACAAAATTGGTTCCCCACTACCCAAGGATGCTCCACAACAAATATGGACCAAATCCTTTCATTCGTACAGAAGAAGAAGGATTTTAAAGAATAGTTTGCTATGTTTCCCCTATTGGGTCCCGCCCCTCAGGCCCCTGGTGAGCCAGACCCATGGTTTATACAAAATGGGTTCTCCAACACCCAAGGTTGCTCCACACCAAATATGGACCAAATCCTTTCATTCCTACAGAAGAAGAAGGATTTTAAAGAATAATTTGCTATATTTCCCCTTTTGGGCCCTGCCCCTCAGGCACCTGGGGGGCCAGATCCACGGTTTAAACAAAATTGGTTCCCTTTTACCTAAGGATGCTTCAGACCAAATATGGAACAAATCCTTCCATTCCAACAGAAGGAGAAGGATTTTAAAGAATTTGCTACGTTTCCTCTATTGGGACCCGCTCCTCAGTTCAGACCAAATATGGAACAAATCCTTCCACAAACTTTGTTCCCCTTCACCCAAGGATGCTTCTGACCAAATATGGAACAAATCCTTTCATTTTTACAGAAGAAGAAGGATTTTAAAGAATAATTTGCTATATTTCCCCTATTTGGCCGCACCCCTCAGGCCCCTGGGGGGCCAGACCCACCATTTATACAAAATTGGTTCTTCTTCACCCAAGGATGCTCCACACCAAATTTTGTTAAAATCCGCTCAGTGGTTCATGACTAGTAGTGTAAAGTTGACGGATGACGGACGACGGACGCAGGACGACGGACGCTGTGGTATGGCATAGGCTCACCTTGGTCCTTCGGACCAGGTGGGCTAAAAACTCAAAATAATATTACATGTACCTGACTTATTCCAAACTTTCTTGACGATTATAAAGGTATCGTTGATAGCACATTGACATAAAGATGTACTAGTAATGATATATACAGGTTTAGCAAGCTATATACAGAATTATTCGCTTTCTAAGATAACATAGAACAAGTGCAAATCATGATTTTATTATAAAGAATGTCAACAAATCCCAGTTTCACAACACCTGGAGTGGAACATGTCTAGCTGATTTGATCACAGAACCAATATCCATTTTATTTCTGATAAACTAAGCCTCCTAATATAATGGACCAATTAAACATGACAGACATTCTTTAACAATAAGAGAAAATCGTCATTCTAAAAGTTTAATTATGATACAACAATTCAAGGTAGTGACACTCTGAACAATTGTGTAATGTCATGTACTTACCCCATTGGCAACAAAACTGACAAAACGGGGAAGAAGTGGGACAATTTGGGAATTTGTCTTGAGATCTTGTAAAGCAATCTGAAAATTAACAAAGATATTTGTTACAACTAATCTGTATAAAGTATCAATCTGTAGGTCATATCTATAACAGCTTTGACAAATATTGAAGTTGATTAAGTCTCTTCGTGTCAATTTGATTTTATATGAAATTAAATACACAATGTATGAAAAAAAAAATCCCTTATTTTTTTCATTTCAAATTTTTTATCAATATGAATTGGGTGCTGCAATAAGGCATCGATAACATCATGGCATCGGGGCCAAGGACAGTACAGATCACATTGTCATAGGACAGCTGCAGTATCTACCATTCACGTTCACTGCATCATTCATAGCCTAGGATGATCAGTAATTAACGTCCCAAAAACATTAGGTCTGTGAAAATTTGAGACTGCATTGTCTCGATACCACATTTTCATAGACCATAATTGTTTTTCTAAAATAAGCAAACAATCATTTTTAAATTTCACTTCAATTATGTTTAATTGATCTGTAAAATTATTCACTTATTATCATTATTATAAATAATATCTACTACAAATCAAACTAATTCATTTTTTTGCATTAATGTTCAGTCTCTATTTAATCTGTAAAAAAAATCAGAAAAAAAAAAAAAAGTCTTATTAGTTCGCAGTATTAATTATATCAATTTAATCCAAAATGGTAACTTAACACTACTCCATCAGTTTGATGTTTTCTTTCATCTTATTATTTAATTACCATACATAACAGACCTAACCACTGGTTTATTATCTTTCTCTTGTCTCTTTTGTGATAATAAATCCATTATCCACCGACAATGTTACCTGCACCAGTGACGGGACATTAACTGGGTTACTGGATAAATAGTTAACAGCACCAGCGTGTTGATCCTATGCCTTCGGATCTATGGCCTGATGTACATGTAGTTAGCCCCTATGCCTTAGGATCTATGGCCTGATGTACATGTAGTTAGCTCCTATGCCTTAGGATCTATGGCCTGATGTACGTGTAGTTAGCCCCTATGCCTTAGGATCTATGGCCTGATGTACTTGTAGTTAGTCCCTATGCCTTAGGACCTATGGCCTGATGTACATGTAGTTAGCCCCTATGCTGTAGGATCTATGGCCTGATGTACATGAAGTTAGTCCCTATGCCTTAGGATCTATGGCCTGATGTACATGTAGTTAGCCCCTATGCCTTAGGATCTATGGCCTAATGTACATGTAGTTAGCCCCTATGCCTTCGGATCTATGGCCTGATGTACATGTAGTTAGCCCCTTAAACTTGCTAAACGATTCGAATTGGTTACATTGTTAAAATCGTTTTAAATAAATCATAATTTGCAATTTATCTAAAACGATTTAATTTGTTTTCATCATTCACAGTCAGTTATATTGCTTTAATAGACAAAAAGTCTATAACACTGCTATTTTGTATAGACCCACTGGTTTTCACATAGTCTTAACCCATCTATCCTTACTTTCACACACATGGTACTGCAGCATGTATCACTCACCTTCATGGCGTCAGGGTCACAGCCTAGGATGGCATTGGTCACGTTGTCAAAGTACATCTGCAGATCCTCACGTTTGATGATGGGTTTAACTACAATTGAGATACATGAACATATTGTATCATTAAAAAAAAAAAGAATCTAAACATTTTCGGGTTGGTAAGTATGGATTATGAGAAGTTCTATTTACACAACCAATAACACTTTCTATCGTCACAAAGAAAATTTCATTGGTTGTGAAAAAAGAACTTCTCATAATATTAACATTAAATATGTTGTACCAGAACAAGAGAAAACTCCTAAAGGCTATGCCTGTTGATGTTCAATACGTCTGATTGTCAACAATAAATCTTGTGTTGAAACCAATTAACATATTACAATTATCAGGATGATAGCAGCTTTATATTCAACCATGGATTCCTACCCCTTCCTCAACATTTAAATATTGAAAACATCCTACATTTCACATCAAGTTTATTTTTTGTTTATTTGCCACCTCAAGTGAATACGAGAAATGTAACTTAATTTGGTACCTTCCTAACCGTTCACTATTAACAGTATTCATTGCCCTGTTAGTTATAATCAGGTAACTGGATTGTGTAAGATGCAAGTCACTATAAAATGAAAGCACTTCAGTAATCTATCGCACATTGGCAGGCAGGGGTGCAATCACAGACCCTACTGTTTCTTGTACAAATAATCTGTTCAACATTTCTATATAAAACAGCTGATATCTTGATGTTTTGTAAAAGATCTATTTTTGCTTATAAAGCAAATCAGGTTTCTATATTAAAAGATTTAATGTTTTATATAAATACAAAATATTGTACATAAATATCCTACTCTTAAGGATGCCTGTCCCACTACAATAACTGGCAATCGTACATATATATTCTACTCTTAAGGATCCCTGTCCCTCTATAATAACTGGACATCGTACATATATATTCTACTCTTAAGGATCACTGTCCCTCTACAATAACTGGACATCGTACATATATATTCTACTCTTAAGGATCCCTGTCCCTCTACAATAACTGGACATCGTACATATATATCCTACTCTTAAGGATCACTGTCCCACTACAATAACTGGACATCGTACATATATATCCTGTTCTTAAGGATCACTGTCCCAATGCACTGTTGTTTTACGTATATTATGTTTTGAATACAACTGTAACACATTTTTTCTATACAAGTTCTGCAAGGTATGGTCTTCCTTAAGAAAGAAATTTAGAATCCTTGTTGACATATTGATTTTAAAAAACACTATCAAAGTAAACAAAATCCAGAATTTTGTTTTCTTTAAAAGCTACAATACAATCCCATTATTTCTAGACAAGTCATCATCCCAGAAAATGAATGTAAACTGAACAACAGTGCACCCAATATAAACTTACTGAGATTTTGATGAAGAGCAGACGACACTTTTGAGACACCTTCAACAGCAAGCCAGTGAGCTGAAATAATTAATCAACTTGTATGATACATTGTATAAATTGTGAAAGTAAAGTGCTGAAAATTACAGCGAAATCAGTATACATAATAAAGCTGTCTCTGACTTTTGATTTTAAAATATAAATCAGTTCACAATTCAGTGCTTTGGTTTCATATTCAAATTCATCATTAAAATTCTATCAATTCTTAAATAATTAACTGATGACATTCAACACATCCCTACCCCTACTCAAATATAGTCCAGTCTGATCATTTGAAATAGAGGAACAAACAGTAACCTCAGAATCTAGTATCCTATTGTACCTTTAATGGAGGTTTCTCCAGGACTTTTACTTTTAATGGAGGTTTCTCTAGGACTTTACCTTTAATGGAGGTTTCTCCAGGACTTTTACCTTTAATGGAGGTTTCTCCAGGACTTGTACCTTTAATGGAGGTTTTTCCAGGCTTTTTACCTTTAATGGAGGTTTCTCCAGGACTTTTACTTTTAATGGAGGTTTCTCCAGGACTTGTACCTTCAATAGGGGTTTCTCCAGGACTTTTACCTTAAATGGAGGTTTCTCCGGGACTTTTACCTTTAAAGGGGTTCTCCAAGACTTTTACCTTTAATGGAGGTTTCTCCAGGACTTTTACCTTGAATGGAGGTTTCTCCAGGACTTTTATCTTTAAAGGGGGTTTCTCAAGGACTTTAACCTTGAAGGCATGATTCTCCAGGACTTTCACCTTGTATGAAGGTTTCTCCAGGACTTTTACCTTGAATGGAGGTTTCTCCAAGAATTTTACCTTTAATTGGAGGTTTCTCCATGACTTTTACCTTGAATGGAGGTTTCTCCAGGTTTCTCTTGGACTTTTACCTTTAATGTAGGTTTCTCCAGGACTTTTACCTTGAATGGAGGTTTCTCCAAGAATTTTATCATTAATGGAGGTTTCTCCAGGACTTTTACCTTTAATAGAGGTTTCTCCAGGATTTTTACCTTTAAAGGGGTTTCTCCAGGACTTTGACCTTGAAGGCAGGATTCTCCAGGACTTTCACCTTGTATGAAGGTTTCTCCAGGACTTTTTCCTTGAATGGAGGTTTCTCCAGGACTTGTACCTTCAATAGGGGTTTCTCCAGTACTTTTACCTTGAATGGAGGTTTCTTCAAGAATTTTACCATTAATGGAGGTTTCTCCAGGACTTTTACCTTTAAAAGGGGTTTCTCCAGGACTTTGACCTTGAATGCAGGATTATCCAGGACTTTGACCTTGAATGGAGGTTTCTCCAGGACTTTTACCTTGAATGGAGGTTTCTCCAAGAATTTTACCTTGAATTGGAGGTTTCTTCAGGACTTTTACCTTGAATGAAGGTTTCTCCAGGTTTCTCTAGGACTTTTACCTTTAATGTAGGTTTATTCAGGACTTTTACCTTTAATGGACATTTCCCCAGGACTTTTACCTTGATTGGAGGTTTCTCTAAGAATTTTACCTTTAATGGAGGTTTCTCTAGGACTTTTACCTTTAATAGAGGTTTCTCCAGGATTTTTACCTTTAATGGAGGTTTCTCCAAGAATTTTACCTTTAATTGGAGGTTTCTCATTGACTTTTACCTTGAATGGAGGTTTCTCCAGGTTTCTCTTGGACTTTTACCTTTAATGTAGGTTTATTGAGGACTTTTACCTTTAATGGGCATTTCCCCAGGACTTTTACCTTTAAAAGGGGTTTCTCAAGGACTTTGACCTTGAATGCAGGATTATCCAGGACTTTCACCTTGAATGGAGGTTTCTCCAAGACTTTTACCTTTAATAGAGGTTTCTCTAGGACTTTACCTTTAATAGAGGTTTCTCTAGGACTTTTACCTTTAAAGTAGGTTTATTCAGGACTTTTACCTTTAATAGAGGTTTCTCTAGGACTTTTACCTTGAATGAAGGTTTCTCCAGGTTGCTCTAGGACTTTTACCTTTAAAGTAGGTTTATTCAGGACTTTTACCTTTAATAGGGGTTTCTCCAGGATTTTTATCTATAAAGGGGTTTCTCCAGGACTTTTACCTTGAATGAAGGTTTCTCCAGGTTTCTCTAAGAATTTTACCTTTAATGGAGGTTTCTCTGGGACTTTTACCTTGAATGGAGGTTTCTCCAGGATTTTTACCTTTAATGGAGGTTTCTCTAGGACTTTACCTTTAATGGAGATTTCTCCAGGACTTTTACCTTTAACGGAGGTTTCTCTAGGACTTTACCTTTAATAGAGGTTTCTCCAGGACTTTTACCTTGAATGAAGGTTTCTCCAGGTTTCTCTAAGAATTTTACCTTTAATGGAGGTTTCTCTGGGACTTTTACCTTGAATGGAGGTTTCTCCAGGAATTTTACCTTTAATGGAGGTTTCTCTAGGACTTTTACCTTTAATAGAGGTTTCTCCAGGATTTTTACCTTTAATGGAGGTTTCTCTAGGACTTGACCTTTAATGGAGATTTCTCCAGGACTTTTACCTTTAAGGGAGGTTTCTCTAGGACTTTACCTTTAATGGAGGTTTCTCCAGAATTTTTCGGAACATAATTACTGAAGGCAACATTGGCAAAATTTGTTTCTGAATCTTCCATGAAGAAGAGTTCTCCATCTTTGGTCTGTCGGAAAGGCAAGTTTTCTGGAGATCGGTACCCATGTACTGGCTGTAAGTACAAAATGGTGGCACAGGTAAGAGATGTGAAACAACTAATAAGGTAAACTATATTTGTTAATCCATCCATAATAGGCTGATTATATGACCTCATTAAATAGAACAAAACTTCTCCAAAATACAGAAAGCAATTATGTGACTTTAGTACCAGATTATAAATCGTCATATTCTCTGTACATGTTCTGGGCACAGTCACTTAGGTTTACATTTTAATGAAAGTGGGTTTAGAGGTGATGATGTTGAAACATATCACTATTTATTCAGTGATTTTATGAATTCTGTCACAAACCTAATTTACTGAACACCACTAACTTCAAAGAGTGACCTTATTAATTTGATAAGCTCACCTGGATATCAAAAACTTAACTTTTTGGATAAGATTTTCTATCACCTCCGTATCAATTCTATCACCTCAATATCAATTCTATCACCTCAGTATCGCTGAATAGGAGTGATTTAATGACTCACCTGAATATCACTGACTTTAAGTGATTTATTAAAATCATCTGTGGTCATCTTTTTTCTTTTGGCATGCTTCATATACTGGGCTCCATTCTGGAAATAAAACCATAATTTCATGATTGGTACACACAATAGACTTTACATTTAAAAAAATGTGTATGTTATCTTTTTACTAAAATCAATCAAAATATTTTTCATGTTGATGACTAATAATAGTAATATTCAGTATCACATCACCAGATATAATTTAACAGTGAAATACTCATTCTTTAAACTTTCTTCATCATTAATTGATCAGAAAACAATATCAAGTTCTTCAAGGGCTTAATTTAACAGATCCTTCATACTTACAGGTCAAATGTTAAAATTACCTGAACTGAGTCACTTTTACCCGAGATTGAGCTGTCATTAGGAGTCTGCACCTTCCTGATCAGTCTACAGTACTTTAAAGCTGCTTCTCGCGAGTCTCTATTCCTTATGTCACTTGAGGCTGTTTATCCTAGTCTATTTAACTAGAGTCACCTATAGCTACCTGAGTCTGAATTACTTGAACTATCTCTCACTCTCTCCAAGTCTATGTCACTTGAGTCACCTACCTGAGTCTGGATTACTTTAACTGTCTCTCACTCTCTTCTAGTCTCCCTATGCTACTTGAGCTGTATACTGGAGTCTATATAACTCAAGTTACCCGGAGTCTACATTAATTCAGCTGTTTCTGTCTCCTAGACTACATTATTGAGCCATCTCTAGATCTCCTGACCTATATTACTAGAGCAGTTTCCTAGCAACTGCATTCCTGTATATTTATACTTAAGTCACCTCAAGTCTACATTACCTGAGCTGCCTCCCGAAGTCTGTAGCTGACATCCTCTCCTAAAAGAGCAGCCACATCATCTGGCAAGTCTGCATGACCTCCAGCTTCTGCGATGAGTCTTATTGATTCTTTTGTCAGGATGGCAAATCTTTTTTCATCAATAATAGGGAGTCTCCTATCTTCCTTCTCCATCACTTCCTATATTTCACGATGCTATTTATAGTTGTTCTAGTTATTCATTTTTAAGGTTTTAACATATATGGCAATATCTGTGATTGCCACATAACATTCTCATATGTCTCAAATCCATGATATATCGGGACAAATGCAAATAAATCATAACTGTTATTGCTCAATTTAACTCTAGATGAAAATGTGATTCTCTACAATTGCATTCCATCATTATGACCATCTTCATTTTGAAGTTCTAGACCAATGTGTTCCAGTATGTGACCTGTAAAAGAAGATTCGGGTATAAGTTTCTGATGATTGTTATCCTGGTTTAATGATCACCGCTTAAGTACAAAATCTTATATTCAAATGGTTCATAGACTGCATGGTGATATATCATGATCACATAATTGGTATAATATGCTGCTTTGTTGCATGCTACACATTTAAGCAAGTGTCACATAAAACTATAATCCTTGTTTGAAAGTAGTAAATTTAGAATATTTCATAAAGAAATAGTTTGTATTTATATAAACATGATGATAAGGAATGCAAACCGTGTGATCAATGAAAACTTAATTGAGACTGGTTTCTGTCTCAAAATGGTTGAAATTGGACTTGACTTGGGTTTTGGGATTGGAAATGGGAGGTGTTCGATTTGAACAAGTTAGAAAGGTTGTACATATTTTCGTTCTGTGTTAAGGGTGTGGCATGATTGGGGGTGGGGACACTGTAGGCCTGTTCCAATTTTATATAGAACCATGCAAAAGTTTGTCAAAATATTTCAGTTTGCTTTTTTGTAAACTATTTTTAAGTGTTTGTCAGAGTTGTACATATTTGTATCTGTCATTGTAAAACATAACCCTCATTCACTTCCCTAATACTGGCAGATGGCTGTGTAAATAATGTATTGTCGGTGGGGGTTGCCCAATCACTTTCTTGCACATGCCTTCTTTTAATATCTAACCTCATTCAATCTATATTATATTATTTGTATTACAAACACTACATTCCTAAACCTACATTTGTTGTCATGTATCATTTTCATCTGCAAACAAATAATTATAAAAATGTGTCATTACATAAATGCCATCCCCAAGAACACCTGATTGTGAAAATTTCACTCATACCTATGAGTTCTGTCGCAATTATCGGAAGAAGTAACATACATCCTTCCTTCCCTAAATCAGGGGTTTCAAGAAATCAATATAGGATCTCAAGTTGTGCGTATCCAATATAAAATACGCAGTTGATTTCAGTACATTTCATAGTTCCTCATTCCTTTTTTTCCCATGAAAGTAGCCGGTGATGTATCTGTAATATGAGGGTATGTTTACTAGCTACTTGCTACAAATGAAACCTTTGTAAATGTACATTACAATGTAATCACTGGTCATGATTGTGAATTTTAGGTCTACTGTTTGTGAAACCCATTGATGACATAGACAAATACATCAGTTTAAAATATATTTACTATCTGCTGAAACGTTTAATGGGCTGGTGTCTTTAAATACCTGATTTTTATGCATTGATCAAGAGAAATTTAAAACGTTTATTCGCCTTTACTAAAAAACATAATAAGTGAGTTTTAACGCAATTTCTGCGAACACGGAACGTTTTAACCAAAGCAAAGTGTCTATAAAGAAAACCTATTAGCTTTGAATGTTCCTTACCTATAACATAAGCCCAATTGACGAGCAAAATATAGCATTTTAACTGTAAACATTATCCGGCGGGCACCTGCTTCTGTCCGTGTCGTCCATGTTTATTTTCCAAAATCACTTCCGGTTTCGTTCGAGTTTAGTTTCGTAGCCGTGTCTCCCTCAGCATCACCCAGACATACAGATTAGTGTGACCATCAGTTCAGTTGGTGCAGACTAGTTCGCGTTTTCATTATCCAGGACAGCTTTGTATAAAGTAAGTATGCGTCAATGTGCATTTTTTTCCATTTAGGAGGTTAGGATCTTGAAGCAACGGAACACGTCGTCTGCACGTGTTCACGGTAAGCCAATATACAAATAACATATAATATAGAACGAATGTATGATCAACAAGTCAGATGTCAGGCCAACCGTTATTACATAGCATGTAAGTATTCCAATATTGGAAACAATGCAATCTTCTGCACCTTCATCTGTATAATCTATTTCACTTGTAAATTATAAATCTGTTTATATTTCTCTTTATAGTTACATAAATGTAGACTGTTATGTTGCATTGTAGATTCATGTCCTATTACCAGATTACAGATTACCAGATTTCACCTGTACCATTATAATTCCGTGATACCATTGATCAATACTAAGAATAGGTTTAGTGTTAATGGTTTCTTCTAAAAATGCACATATTTCAGCAGTTTCCTTATTTTCCTGATAAGAATTAACATATTTGGAAAAATATGGAGGGGAGTTAATTATTTTCTATTCTGTTCAATATCATTATGTTCAAAATATTTTAAAAAACATTTCGGAGAAATTAAAGACTATACTTCAGAGAATATTCAGTAGGAATACCGACAAAAATTATATAAACTAATTATAAGAGAATGAAAAATAAAATGTTTAAAACAAATATAAAAATAATGAAGTCAGTCAAGGTTTAAAACCCCAGGTGAAAGTATCACAACTAAATTCTCAATGTATTGAGATATGTTTTTTTCTGAGTTTTTAGTAATTAAATCTTTGGAAGAACAAAGGGCCATAACTCTGTAATATTTTCGCACAAATTAAATCAATAGCTGATTTCAATGCATGGTATTTCACCATCCAAGAGGTACTCACATACAAAGTTTTGCATTTATAGGTAAAAGACTATATGAGATATTCGCAAGATATAGTAAACAAAAAATAATTTTAAATTGAGGCACAAAACCAAATTTCAGTATATTTTGTACCTGCATTCCACTATTCAAAGTCACGGGTACCTGCATAGAACAAAAGTTTTATATAGACAGAACGACTGAATAGATAGAAGGAGTACATATGTCTCTAGATTAATCTGGAATCATCAGACGGGATTAAAGACAATGGTTTAGAAAAGGGGAGTACCGTATATTTTAGTCCTTACTTGACCTCTTGACCGTGGCCTTTAACTGTATGCCTAAAGATCTCAACCCATGGCCTGTAATAACAGTACTGTATGCCTTAAGATCTCAACACATGGCCTGTATCTGTATGCCTAAAGATCTCAACCTTTGGCCTATAAGTAACTGTATGCCTTAAGATCTCAACCAGTGGCCTGTATCTGTATGTCTAAAAATCCTAACATGTGGCCTGAAACCGAATGCCTCAAGATCTCAACCTGTAGCCTGTACCTGTGTGCCTAAATATCTCAACCCATGGCCTGTAACTGTGTGCCTGATGATCTCAACCCATGGCCTGTATCTGTATGCCTAAAGATCTCATACTTTGGCCTGTAACTGTATGCCTAAAGATCTCAACCCATGGCCTGTTATAACAGTACTGTATGCCTTACGATCTCAACCCATGGTCTGTATCTGTATGCCTTAAGATCTCAACCAGTGGCCTGTATCTGTATGTCTAAAAATCCTAACATGTGGCCTGAAACCGAATGCCTCAAGATCTCAACCTGTAGCCTGTACCTGTGTGCCTAAATATCTCAACCCATGGCCTGTAACTGTTTGCCTGATGATCTCAACCAATGGCCTGTAACTGTATGTCTAAAAATCTCAACCCATGGCCTGTATCTGTATGCCTAAAGATCTCATACTGTGGCATGTAGCTGTATGCCTTAATATCTCAACCCATGGCCTGAAACTGTATGCCTTAAAATCTCAACCAATGGCCTGTATCTGTATGTCTAAAAATCCTAACATGTGGCCTGAAACTGAATGCCTTAATATCTCAATCCTTGGCCTGTAACTGTATGACTAAAGATCTCGGCCCATGGCCTGAAACTGTATGCCTAAAGATCTCAACCCATGGTCTATAACCGTATGCCTTAAGATCTCCACCAATGGCCTGAAACTGTATGCCTATAGATCTCAACCCAAGGTCTGTAATTGTATGCCTAAAGATATCATGGGCCTCTAGATTGTAATATTTGTGCTGTAGGAAAATTAATTTATTTTTCTCTTCCAAAATGAAACATTTTTCAGTTACATAGGAACTTGTGACCAGAATGCAAAGGACACTTGATTTTAAGGAGGTCCTGTAACAGGAAACTGGAATTGAATACATTTTTTTGAAAAGAATAATTTATGTATATAAAAATGTCTCTATAAACATGCCATACTCGTATATTTGTCACAGGATAAGGGAGATTGTTTTTGTACACTGGTACATGTGCACTAAGCACTAGCTATATAGGTCCAAAGTTCAGTCAGTACGTACATATGTTATAATCTACTATGTTTATCTGCTCATACACAGGTTGATATTCTAAAGGTTGTTCTTTTGGTAATGCATTGGTAAAGATCTTATGTACCTATGTGGATACTCCTGCATTTTTAGATTACCATCTAATTTACAATATTGCCCTGTGATACACAATTTACAATGGACAGGATACATACAGTGACATATTCAGTATAAATATAATGTGCAGATCTTGACAAGTTAAACTATAAACTTTTCGTCAATTTAAAAAAGTTACTGCAGGTATTCCTTCTTAAAAGACTCCAGACTAGGTAAACTGGTCATGTGGTAGAAGTTCCTCTTCCCTTCCCTTCTTACGGCCCTGTTTCTTCATAATCAAATTTCTTTTTAATACCATTACAAATACTACACATTTAATAACTCCTTAAGTGTTATATCCAAAGATAAATTCTGAAAACCTGTCAAAGGGATTATTGCTTAAACACTGGTGTTTAATTATAGTAGTAAATTTTGGTCTTTGTGTTGTAAATGTATTTGGATGTGTTGAAATTATTTCAATGTTTACGTCTTGGCAAAAACCATGGCATGGATCATCCCAAAAGTTACTTTTATTGTTCTCGTTGCACAAACTGCCATTGGATATATTTATCTGAAATGTATTAGTTTGTTGAGCTTTTGTTGTTTGTTCAGACCCATTTTTTGGGCTTTCGTTTCCATATATTCTGGTACATAACTGAATACCAATGTGTACCTTTTGGTCAGAAGTAGGAAGGGTTACATAGGGAAGAGGGCATGTACTTCCTATGACGGCAAACCATGTGCAACAGGATCACACTTGAACCTTCCATATTGAGACATTCTGCAATAAAATAACGTTTTTAATTGTATTTTATATCAGCATATCAAACATAATTTCTGGAAACACATTTAAAGCATGTCACAAGCAGTGTTTTTGTTGGCTGGTAGCTATATATAGTCAGTTGTCCCAGTCTCGTTAAATAAAGTATACGAGTATGTAATGTCTGTACATTAGATATGTGTCACTTTATCAATAAGAATAGCACAGATTTCTAAAGGTTTAATAAATAGTTAATGGATACTTTGGTTTGTATATATGTAAAAACACACACACATCTGCACAGATTATGCAATTATGCAAATACTGCAGTGTTGTTGCTAACCCATGCATTTATTATTACAGAATCACCACAATATCTGCTTTACATATATATTGCACCTCTTCGACAGGATTTACGTAATGTGTAAATAGGACAATCAAAAGCTGATACATATTGTAAGAGAACATTATCCGCAGTAGGATTTCTTACACTTCTTTGTCGAGTTGTATATAGGTGACACTGATACATACGATAATAAAGACTTGTATACATTTATAGTGTAAATACAAGTTCATACACAAAGTTTTGGTTATATGCTCCAGGGTTTGACTGCAGTACCATGATATGTTATAGAAACAGTACAATGTACGTATAACCTAGTGATCCAGAGTTCAGGGTGCAGTGTTATTTCAGGATTAATTGATTGGACTAACAGTAAAGCTGTGATCAATACCGATAACAGGTGAACATACTATACTAATCTGCTCTAATGCTTGTTTATAAATAATTCATTTCAGATCAGAATTGTTTTTTTTAAAGTGGTTAATTTACATATACAGTATAGAAGTAGAGAAATTTAAAATCTGTGATTACTGTAATATCTTACAAATAAGACATTTATAAATACTTACACATTTATAGACATGTATAAAGAATTGGATGGTGTCATCATGATCAGTACTATGAATTACATGTATATACACAGACGTAGAAAACAAGTTACGCACATTTAGGTAATGCACTCTTAAAATGGAAATGATTTCAAGGAAAGATAGCAATCTTTCTATTTATCAAGTAAAAAGTAATATTTTTGTCAGGGCTTCCCTTCGGTCCTTTTAAATAATATCACCTGATGTTAAATTCACCAACATATACTTACAGGCACTGCTAATGTAACCATATATACATGTACCCCATACTTACAGGTACTGCTAATGTAACCATATATACATGTTCCCCATACTTNATGTGTTATTAGCTCACCTGGCACGAAGTGCCAAGTGAGCTTATGCCGTGGCGCGGCGTCCGTCGTCCGTCCGTCCGTCGTCTGTCCGGCCGGCCGGCCGGCCGGNCCATAACTTACAGGCACTGCTATAATGTTTAATACCATATATACATGTACCCCATAACTTACAGGCACTGCTATAATGTTTAATACCATATATACATGTACCCCATAACTTACAGGCACTGCTATAATGTTTAATACCATATATACATGTACCCCATAACTTACAGGCACTGCTATAATGTTTAATACCATATATACATGTACCCCATAACTTACAGGCACTGCTATAATGTTTAATACCATATATACATGTACCCCATAACTTACAGGCACTGCTATAATGTTTAATACCATATATACATGTACCCCATAACTTACAGGCACTGCTATAATGTTTAATACCATATATACATGTACCCCATAACTTACAGGCACTGCTATAATGTTTAA